ATATATATCATGTCCAAATTGAGCACTCTATCTAGGATGAGTCATTGCTGCTGCAATTGCGCATGCTCGCTAGTTTACTCTAGTTTGAACACTCTGGCATGGCTTAGAAGATACCACAAAGGTTGGGTCGTTTGGGGTGACCGTCTCGGCTCTCCCCCATCCAAGCATCAGCACTGCACTGATGAGGCCCAGAAGGTTAAAACAGTACTTTCTGCAGTTAGATATATTTAACAATTATTCCACTCGCTCTTGTTGGATATGAGATGATTATAGCCAACTCGGCGCTACACGCCTCGTTGGCTATCTATCATCTCATATCCAACGCGCGCTCGTGGAATAATTGTTAACTATCCGGTCTATTGATTCAACCAAAATCCCTCCACTACAGGAACATGAAGACTGACGACTAGTTCCGACTTGTAGCCAAACTGATTCACGCTTGGGAAAGAAGAAATTCAAAGAAAACTGAACATAGCCTACAGCTGTTTTAAAGAGGCAACTTAAATCAAGAGAACAATACCGAAAACTTTTCGCCAAAACCATGTTAAGCAATGTCAATTATTAACCGAAAGTTTTTCTTTTATCTTAGAAAAACTTTACGCTGCAAAACACTTAAGTTTCTTTTCAGGATAAAATAAGCTCGACAATATTCAAGACTTTCTATTAAGTTCCACACGAGAATAACGCCAAACTAAGTCAGCAACCACTGCTTCTCAGAGTCGAAACTGGTTTTGAGCTTGCCTACATGTATATTGTGGCCCCGGCGGCACTTGAATAAAATGCTTTGGCAGGAGCCACTTGCACCTTGTCTGCTGTTCAACAAAAGAAGGTTCTGTAGGTTCCCTGATAATTCTCTTTGGTGACGCAGTTGGTTTCTTTGTGGCCGGCTGCCATTGCAACAGAATGAAACATTTTAGATCAAGAAGTATAAATCGGCGAATCGGAAAAAAAGACTCTAATTAAATTAATTGTTTACGATCCTTGTATAACACCGATTGGCAAAAGGATTTCGAATCACGGTGTAAATCAATACAGTTTATCAAAATATTACTTCGCCTCGATGGACAAAAACGTTAAAAGCCAGTTGTGTTAGTGATACTTTTTGCTGTATGCATACAGTATCTTCTAAAATGTGCTGTTCTGACACAGTAGGCACACACACACAGTAAGCAATTGCTCTAATTAATTATTAATTTCCTACCTCGAGCAGTGACTCTTTGTTATTGTCTCTGTAGTTGGATAAATAGATGCATTTGATCCGAGGTTGTGATTTTATTGTTAAATGAATACCCCCAGGGCATAAGCCAATGGTAATTCGTTGGCTAACAGTAATAATAATTCGAATTTACATTGTGGTACAAAACGAACGTAACTTCTACGCGCTGACTATTAGCCATACATACCTTGAAACCAAAAAAAACTTCCCTCCTTATCGGGAATTTTTCAAACCCCAATTGAAGACGACCTAATTTTATATTTCAGCGAGGCTATCAAAATTAACGTGGTTTCAAATGTCGCAAAGGAAGTTTAAAGTGACCTGTGCAACCAAGAATGACGAAAAATCGGAAGCGATGCAAACTTCCGACGCCAAAGAAGGAAAACAGGCTATTTCCCGAGCAAACCAGCATCAAAAGCTTGTAATATCAGTGCTTTTATTTACGATCATAGCGTGGCTGGTGGGTAAGGCTGATATTAGCATATTTTGGATTTTCACACTGGCATTATGGATCTTGTTTTGGTGGAATAACGCCGCTGCACAAGTAATAGACAGTGCTGTTAAAGAAGCAGAAATTGATAAGAGGCGACAAAAAGCATTGTCGAATGGAGAAACGGCAGAATGGCTAAACTTTCTGATTAATCGATGGTAAGTGTGAGAGATCATTGCATCCTGTTATGAATCGTAAACAAAACCGATAGGTTTTTGAACAGTACCGAAGTTAGGTTGTGTTTCGATGCTAAGCGAATGCACTTAACACTGTTCGCAGCGTAAACAAAAGTGCCATGACTATTCCTTATAAATTCTTAAAGAGAACAAGTCGAAAACATTATGGTGACTTTCTAATCTTTCTGTAAAAAAAAACAGAATGGAGGGTTTTACTGCTTTTAAAAAACGAATTTATATGAATTTCGTGACAGGCTTGTGGTGCCCACTGAGAGAAAAACTTACCCCGTGATTCTTACATGAGTTAACAGCCGACATAGTGGAGAAAACTGAACTAGTTTTTTCCGTCAATTGAAAATTTTCTTTTATCAGAGCTATCTACCCTGATAAAGTTCAAGAAAATGAAAGTATGCATCCAACTGAATTCAATCTTAATGTTTTGCATAAATAGCGTGCCTCAAACTTTAATGAGGAAATTTCTCCGAAATTTTCATCCAGTTTCCTGACCAGTCGATGGAATAGAATTCTCTTTCCTCGAGAAGGTAAAAACACTATTACTCGCCTGATACATCCTGAAGCGACATCAATTATAAAAAGAGAGGCAAAATCAAAAGTATTCTTCGTGGAATATGTGGGAACACGATCAGAAGAAAAACCTCATTATGGCAACACGCGACTTTCTCGATCAGAGTTATCGACCAATTTAAGTTCAAGGTAAATTCAATCTTAAACTTGAATTTTGCACAATCCTATCCTAAACGGAGAAATTTACCTCAAAATACACAGTTTGATCCTTTTCAGATACTAATCACGCGCAAGTCTTAAATATTTTATAGAAATTAAATAGACTTCGCTCAATCTCGACCGCATAATTTTGTCTTCTAAGACTAATCACAAATTTTCGATCTACTGATATTACATGCGGCTGCATTTGTTTCTTATCGCAGCGAAAAAAAAACCGTCAGACGTATCAAACCTTTCTTTGCTATCTCTTTGATACTTAGTTATTCAAATCACATCTTTACAAAGAAAAACTTAATAATTGAAGAAGTGTTGAAAGGGTAAAAAATATTATCAATATTTGCATGGTAATTATTGTAGGGCGCCTGAAACTACGATGAATTTTTCCCTCCTGAAAAGTCTGCTCTCTAGTTCAAATTCAGTTAAAAATAAAGATAATGGACCAAAATACTTTCACAAGGACTTTGGAGTAACTCGAGGAAATACTTGTAGATCACGAGAAAAAAAAACAACAACTCATTTGCACCTCAGACAGTCAATTAAAACTGTCTACGATGCGAGTTGCTTCGAAATGATTGTCGTTTAAAATTTTAAACTTTAAATAAGAGTAAATTACTTCATCTGTATTTGAGTTTAATGACCAAAGGCTGCCAAAGCTGAATCTTAAAACTCCATTTAATGAATCAGTACAGTCATGTTTTTCACTCAAACTGTCGTATTGCTTTCATTTTTATCTGTCACATTTTCCTCAGCGTACTTATTTTATAGCCCTAAGAGATTCACAAAGAGATTTTCGCGTCTTGTAAGGAATCAGCATATCACAGAATCCGACCATGAAACTAATAACAATGATACATGTAGTTTTTAATCACGATGATGATATTTAGTGAACATTTACCAACAAACCTCTTTTGTTCTAAATTGTCGAGGATCTTAGCCACTTCTTCCTTGCTTTAGTGTGAGCGTTTTTAGAATTCAGTGTTTATGGAATACTTTCCTTCTAAAATTCATCAGTCCACACCTTGAAAGCTAAGCTTGGGATGAAATCGAGTATTGCGAATCAAATATCCATGAGGCCTATTAAGGCCATTTTATAATGTTTCGCTGCGCACTGCTAACAAGCATCATTCTAGGAATGAATGGTGCGCCTACATTAACGAAGTGGAGGTTTTTCTTTTACGATTGGAACTGGCAATAGGCGTCAGTCGTAATTTTTTTTCTGAATAGGTCGAATGACTTGGTAATTTTCCTATTTTAATTTGCAGCCACTTTCTCGTCGACTTGGCTGATCGCAAAAAAGAGTTTCATGCAGTTACTGCCCACTTGCTAGTATCGTATGGTTTATATGCGTTTGGTTCTTCAAAATAACGATCGTGAGTGCAGCTGCCCTCTCAAAGATATCCTCAGAAAATAATCAAATCTGTTACGTTTCTTACAGGTTTGTTTTCAGTGACAGATCGTTATTGACTAGCATCAAAAGAAACTTGGAGCCGATCCTTGAGGCCCAGAACCCATCCTATGTAGGTAAGAGTCAAAAGCCGAGAGCTCCTTTAAAAATGCTTCTATGGGGATTCAGAAACGCGCCAACATCTTTTCGCCAGGGCTAAGTTCGATTCCTTGACATGATGTCACCTGCAGATTAAGTTTATCGTTGGTTCTTGTCAAGGCACCCTTGCGTGTCTTTAATCTAAGTTTTTCTTCCCGTTCTTCTGTTTTCATCCCTCCAAAAAAACCTGGACCAGTAGCACACCGTAACTGTACTGCGGCTTAATCAAATTAAGATATGTACGGGGTAGTTCATAGTGTTCATGTTAGTTTCATCGGAGCAAAATATCAAAATTTACATTCATGGGACTAATAAAGGATTTTTTATTCAAGTTTACGCACGTTTTCATTTTGCTATCGTAGCGAGCCTCTCCTGGATATTTAACTGGTTTAAAAAGAATTGAAAACAGGGCGCTTTCCATTTTGTCGGAAAACCAAGTTTTTAAAGCATAAGTGGGAAATAAAATAGGACAGCCTTCTCCTATGAAAATGTTTGAGTAAAATAGAATGACGTCATAGTTACTCCCCTTTTGGTTTTTATTAGAATTACCCGATAATCGCTGAAAATGATACAGAGTCTTTTCCAGCCAAAACATTTTTTTCGCAGTTTGCATGACACAGACATATTCAGGATTAATGCAACACTGCACAAAGAACACAGTTCTCCTGATTCATTTTGTTTTCAGGAAATATCGTACTTTTCTATTCCGTAGGAGAGCACGGTCTTGTTGGTGTTCAATCACAAATGGAAAGCAACCCAAGCTTTCTCTTTTCAAGTCTTTTGCTTGTATTTCGTATCTTAATGCAACTGTCTCTACTCATTTTTATTTAGGTTCTATAGAGATTCTAGACTTTACCCTTGGCAATAGGACACCTTACATAAAATACGTCACATCTTATGATAACTCTGACGATCAACGGAATATAAAAGCTTCCGAGTTAAACTTTAATCACCCACCTGACGATCTGATGACCAGAGGTAAATACCAGGCAGTTATTCACCTGGAAGCTGGTCTAACATCTCCAGAGGCTAGATTCGTCATAAGAATCAGACTTGGTAACAAGGGGTAAACAATGAACAATCGTATTAGTTAATTATCTAAGAAATAGAAAAGACCGCCTACTCTACTCGTTATATTCCCCATGAAATTATCAAAATTTTTCCATCTGCTAATCGGTTTTACAGAATTGCATATTCGGATAAAAATTTTTTTTAAGTGGATTAATTTTTCATGAAGAGAAGGTACGCATAGATAGGCAAGGATTAACTCCACGATCTGACATGTTCTAACGTGACTGTTAAGAATGAAAATCAAGCAACAAAACAACAACAACAACAACAGCAACAACAACAAAAATCAACAAAAGAAAAATTGAGCTACAATCGAATTCTGTGATTTATTGGTTCGGATGCTTACTAAATATCATTAACGTTACCCTCAGAAAATAAAACAAAAAACTTTTGGACTGGCGCGCTTTCGTCGTGCAAATTTCTTTTGTTTCATTGTGGTCCCATTCTGACTGGATGGATTGAAGGGAAGTTTCTATGGTCGAAATGGTTGGGATTATATGAAAATTTGTGCACGGATGAATCTAAAAACCTTCTAAAAACCTTCAGTATAACAAAGAAATCTGCAGGCTTTTATTCAGAGTCTTTTCTACTTGCCACGGCACCCTTTATATGCTATTAGGATAACTTGACCACAAATGGTGCTACTCCCTGGGAGTTCCAATAGGCTAAAAGGCACTCAGTTAACTATGCTCCAACAAAACTGAGCTGAGCTCAGTATAGTAGACGTCGGGTGAATCGTTTTCGCGTTCTTATTCTTTTTATTTATTGTTACTTCATTGTTCTATTGTTTAAGTTGAACCTGCTTGTCCGGTTTGTCTTGCAGGTTTCTTGGCACGTGTACCGATGTAGCAGTAGAGGACCTTCACATTCACGGCAAGCTGCAGCTGGTGCTGTTGTTTAATCACAATATTCCCTTTCCCCATCTGGCAGCAGTGACATTTTTCTTTATCGAAGAGTAAGATGTGCAGTTAGTGTTTTTTTGTAGAGAGTAAATTCAAAACAATATCTTCGTTTAAAATAATCACTCGCCTCCCTTTCTAAAAATTCTCTTTTTTATCAATTGACATGACTAGATCTTGCTTTTTTTTGTTTTGTCTGTTTAAGACCAGACGTATCGTTCAACATTCGTCTCCTGAAGGCCGTACAACTGATGGAGTTTCCCCTCCTCAGACAATGGATCACACAGATGGTCAATGATTACCTTAAACTAGGTGACGATACTTTTCTTTTGTCGTACCCATTCAAGAGAGGATGATGTTCTTTTTATCAAATGAAGTCCTCCCTATTACCAACACGGGGGAAAGATCAACAACAAAGGAAAACAAAAGAATTACTCCGGCCGTTCCTCTGTCTTCTCCTGTCATTTCCAAAGGTCCAAAGGCCTTATTTTCAAAGTTAAACCCTTCCGTTAAGTTTCTGAATGTTTTATTGGGAAACGCTGATACCCAAACGCAGATCTCCTAAATTTTTTTGGAAAAGGGAGTGATCCTAAATAAACTTGAGAAAGATTACAGTTCACCTCAAACTCCGACGAAGGGCTAATGCTCGAAACGTCAGCTTTTGTAATCGTTACGGTGGCCAATTTACCATTTCAACTTTGTTGATATATCCAAATTATTAAACTCTCACACCCTAAAATACAATAGAATATTTTATTGACAACTCCCCAAAGGGGCTTTTCAGTGACAATGAAGGGGCATGTATATTCTCCATACTAAGTATATTCTCCATACATTTCCCATAGGGATGACAGTTTTATAATCAAGATCTTTTTCAACTTGTGACCGTTTCCTTCATTCTCGTGTCCTTAATGTGTTAAGACTAAAAGATTTAAGATGCAACTTGTTCTTACCTGCAGCCTTGGTAGATCCCGGCCACATAACAATTCCATTTTGTGACGATCCTGAGGTTGTCGGAAGAGGAGCAGCATATGGTAAGTGTATCCACCAAGAAATATCGTTACTGTCTCTAGAGTTAGGTTCATCCTATCAGAGGTCGCGAAAGAGCGCGAGCTAAGTAAGCAGAAGGATCCCAAAAGAGTTGCTTTCTATGGCCTTCTTGGCTCTCTTGTTGAAGCATATCGTTTGCAAGAGAGCTACACTAGTTCCGAGAAATAGGGTTGAGATGAGAAATATTAAAGGAACCCCCATTCACTGCTAGGGTAGGTTGCCGTTATGCATGAACTGATAAACGTGCTGAGAAAACGAAAATAAAATGAAATAAAATGATTACGAAGATTTCGAAACAAACTCCATTTATTGGGATGTTCAAATACCTTTCTCAGGGCATTACGTCCTACGGCCCATGCTCTTGTCAAACAATAGTAGCCTTTCTCCCAAGGCTCTCTCAAGGAGAAAGCACATGTATTACAAGCAACAAGGAAAAGGATCCCAAATGGCACTCAGAAAAGTTCTAAAATACCTTCAGTTCTTTATTAATCAACTTGATCCTTACATACGCTATTTTCTGTTGCATCTAAAGCATGCGGCGTTCTTACTTTGACAATCAGCGGAGGATCTCATGGAAAATTAACAGGTGCAGTAGAATTTTGTTTGCTTACAACTGAGATACAAGAGGTGGCGTTGATACAGGGTCGCCTGACGATGCTTTTAGCCAAATTGAACTTTTCTTGGCATTAATTTGAACTCGAGTGCTTTTCACTAAAACAAGAGGTTTTATCAAATCTCTCGATGATTCTGCCAATTTACCTCCATTGGCCCCAAATTATCGTAGAGGAGCCTCGGGATTTTAGCCCTATCCCAGATGAGCAATAAGGGTATCATACAATTGAGAAAAATGTGCTGGCTTTAATTTGCTTAGTCATCTGTAAATGAGGACAATAAATTTAGGCCTGGTATCCTTCCCCTGTCTCCGAAGCAATTGTCTTAATTTTTTCTGTCTCAAAAGGCTGCATTGGCATGTCGATCCAAAATTCTAACCTGTTGTTAATAAATGAACTAATTGAACGCATGAGATTGTGGCCATAACGCTCAGGTAATTTAACGGGCCCGTAAAATTGTTCGCTTTCCATTCACGATGTGGGGTTCAAAAGTTTTAAGATTTATGCAATAAAACTATCAGGTAAAGGGCCAAAATGGACTGGTTAGGATGCGTCAACTATTGCTTTTACAATCTGGTGTTGGGCCCGTCAAGTTACTGGGACTTTCGAGAACGGGCTCCTTAATATATCAGTAACTCTTGTCTGTCACAGATGACCCTTACTGGTGCTCTGTTAAGATTGATGGTCAAAAGCGATACACCAAGGAAGTAACGGGAGATAATCAATGGAGTGATCATGTGTCATTGTTGGTGTACAACCTGCATGCTGACAGGGTAAATATCTACCGATAGCCTACAAATGGTCTTGGAATTTTTATTGTCAAGAAACTGACCTTCAATGTCCACTTAAATGGCTCATAATAAATAGTTCAAATATGACGGGCAGAGACAAGCACTCATAGATAGGGAAACTTTTCACAAATAATTCGCCATATATTGTATGTTGCTTGATTAAACCTGATTTACGGGTGCCTGTGATCTATGACGTTTGAATCTATCTTGAATGTGTTAATCTTTTTTCAGCTGGTGATTAAACTGAAAGGACGAAGAAAGCTGGGCACCAAGTACACTGTAGTTGGACATGTGCTGATCCTTTCAAAGTTTTGTTTGGAGAGCAGTCCTCAGCAGTAAGATATAATTGAATTATAAACCATCCCATAACATTAAATACTATCCACCTTTCCTTATGAATGACATCACGTTCCTGCTAAAAATGATCTTGATAATTTTTTTGGTTCACTGCACAGATTTTCTATTCTTAAAATGGTAATCTCGGCAAACGACCATCGAAAGTTGGTTATCTGTAGAATTAGTTGTCGACAATGTTTCAAATCGGAAACGATAACAAAGGTATGTGCACACCCACAATTAGTCGCCCTCAATCGTACAGGTGTTGCATAAGCTTTCTTAAAACCAGTTACAAACCCACAATCTCTTGTGGTGCAGCCCATAGCTTGTGAATGCTCATTGTCGTAGCCATTGTTAATAAGTCGATGTTGTTTACGTAAGTGATCAAGTGCTGGAAAAGTCGTCTTTAAAGCCTGCTACCCTATCAGTGCAGATGGAATACACACCTCTTCCAGTGATTGACGTGTGCCACTCAATAACCCCTGAAGACTTTGGCAGAAACTATCTGAGCAGACTACGAAATCTCCACCCGAATGAAGGTAACTCTATATATCTCTTTAAATTTTAACAGTCAATCTGAGCCGAGCATCGCGATTTCTTTTGGTGATGACCACAGGGAGGTTAAGAAGGGCATTTAAAGCAACTAAAAAAGGCAGAAACGAGCTCTGATTTGTCAGCTTTTCCAATAACTCACCGATCTGTCCCGTAGAAAATATTGCGCAAATTTATGTTTTTTCAATTAATAAAAATTGTTCAATAAGTGCATAAACACCTCAAAGTAAACAGTTTCAACTTCATTTTCTTCGATCTGTGTTCCGTTTAAAAAACACGTAATGCTTCAACTTTCTAATATCTGTCTTTGCATAATTCAGTTTCAGGAGTTCTCCTGGTCTGCGTTCACAGCGGTCGAGGCCTGGTTCCCATGGATAAACATGGACTCAGTGATCCCTATTGCGTAATTTATGAAAACGGAAGACAGGTAACGAACCCGTGTAATAATTGTTCTCTTCAATTCCCTGTCCTTAAAAAAAATTTTAAACATTATGAACCAAACTTGCTATTCTTCAAAAATGTTTCCTGGAAAAGTTATCGTTAGTTAGTGCACATGACTACTTTCCCCATGTTTATGCCTTCAGATGAATGGTTCAATCTTAACACGCACTTTTTCGCACCACGCTTTGCACCTGTGATACTCCGAGACTCTGCTTTCAAAAGTCCGTGTGAATGTATTTCTTTTTTTTTATGGCACGGGGGAAGGGAATGGAATAAAATGAACAGGGCCAGACACAACAAGCACAGACATACCGTTGGTTCATTTGCTTATTTCAGGCCAAGCGTGGGGAGGCTGTGAAAGGGACCCTGAGTCCTATTTGGGACACCATGGTTGAGATACTTGTTGCCGACTTTACACAGGTTTGAAATAACGAATACACATACTTATTATTCATGTAAATATGGCGCCGTGGATAATGTGGGGAATCCGGGGTTCTGACAGGCTATATGAGTGGGACAGATGGCTTATCATGCTCAGAATATCTTTTATTGTCGTCCCCATTCGTGCGATTCATCTTTTGTTATGATGATAAAAAAAAATTATCATTTTTGTCTTTGTTATAATTATAATTGTTATTATTTAAATAATTATTATTTTATCATTATTATTATTATTATCTTAATATAGTTCTTATTCTTTGTTCTTTTTCTAGACGACATTATCGTTTGTTATCTTAGACAAAGACACAAATTCTATAAAAATGATCAAAGATGAAAGAAGTGACTTCATGGGATCATGTAATCTTTCTCTTACAGAGGTGAGTGTAAAGCTAGATTGAACTAAAATGAGCTAAATTGGAAATCTGACAGGTTTCCATTCTCGTCTCGGTTAGCCTCTCATTTAGCTCAATTGGTTAGAGCGCTGGACTGTTGTGCGGGAGGTCGAGGTCGATGGTTCGAGCCCCGGCCGGACCAACACTCAAGGTCTTAAAATAACTGAGGAGAATGCGCTACCTTTCTATAATATCAAGAAATGGATATACATTCTAGTTTTCTCGGATAAGGACAAATAAACCGTAGGTCCCGTCTCCTGCACTATTAAATTAGTTAATTTGGTTAGGTAGGGGACGTTAAAGAACCCACTCACGAGATTACTGTGATGTGGTCTGGCCTGTTTACTGGGAATTGGGGGGGATAGGGCATCTTCAAATAAGTTTCCTTCGATTTTTTGTAAACTGCTGATGCAGCCCGGCCAAAAGTCCCCCGAAAAGTGTTGTGATGCGCATTTGATCACATCCACATGTTAATTTGCGCGATATAAATATTAAATTATTATTATTACTACTATTATTATTATTATTATTGTCTTTTATGGAAATCCTCATGGGTCATATTTTTAGTCAACACATATTTCTTTTTAATACCGGTTTGATTTGTTAAATTAAACTTTGACATCGGTTTTCCACGAGCCGAATCATATTAACTGGAGGCCCAAACGAACTGGGCCATGGCCATCAATTATAAACGAGAAATTTTAAGCGACTTCATGTTCGAAACACTCCGTGGTCTCCGCCATGACTGTGTGGCAAAGTAATAAATATTTAATTAATATTTAACAAATACCTACCTTATTATCAAATAATTGACCACGTTCTCGTCTTCACCAACAGCTTTTGGTTTCCGCTCATTATTTTTTACATCATACCATCATCTATTTCGTGCAAAACCACGTGTTATAATGACATATATGCACCTATACATCCATTTGTTTCACAGTTGGTCACGTGATTTCATAAAACAAGTTCTTCCTTTCGTGTCATACTATATCAATAGGGACTTTAAGCAGTCAGGACAGCAACGCCACGGAAGACGTCGATTAAAAAATGATTTTCTACTTTTAGCTAGAATTTCGAAAATGGCTGCACGTGTTTACCGTCTCATAGGGCGCCAGACCTCAAACCCAACATAACGCATAAAAAAGTAGCATTGAGTTGCAAATGTAAATTAAAATGATTTGCCGCCGCGGTTTCGCTTCGTAGACAACGCAAATTTTGGTGATTTCACGTTGTTGTTTTGCAAGGGGCGGCTAAGAAATGTACAAGGTTTTAAAACGCACGTGCTGGGCTATTGTTCTGCCGATTAGATCTATTGTTTTTCCACGTTCTCGTTGCCGTAGCTGTCGTGGTTTGATCAAAGTCCTAGTCTCTTGTCTTTTATGAAAACCGAGAACTTCATTTGTTATCATCTGGCTTTTTTGGATTAGTGTTAGCTCATCGTATCACAATACTCTACAATTTTTTTTGTCTTTCCAACACATTTTAGAAGAATTGGTTTCCCTTTTCAATGAAGGTGCAAACTCACTGAGCCCAATTTTCTTTTTTTGTTCTTACTTTTCCAGGTATCACCCGTGCTATTTAAGAAAAACCTTGACTTGCTGTATAGAGTTAAAGGCTCTGGCATGATGAAGGCGGGAAAGCTGTGTGTCTCCGCCATTTTTAGACCCGTTCCATCGGTGGCCAAGTCTGGTAAGTACGCATGCTCACAAAGCAAGGCTCTTTCATCATTTATATCCTCATTATTTTATTTAGTGATGTAGGTTACAAAATTGGCAGCTTATAAGGCTAATGTGGATGTACAATATACTAAATAAAGTAATTTTTCTAATAATACTAAAAATCACAGTTGACATAAAATAAGAAATCTTATAATTTGTGTAAAAAATATCAAAGGTATTTCTACATTACATTCTAAAACCGAGGAATCCAAGTTTTATAGAAGACAAATTGCGAAAAAAGAATAACATAAAAAAAGCAAAATGACAACGAAAGTTAACTTTACTCGGAATGTTTTTACACTCATATTCAACGTCGTGGAAGTAAAAAAAGCCGCACCGAACGTTGAAAAGGTGATATTTTGTGCAGAGGAACGTTAACGCTCAGGTCAGTTTACTCAGAAATTTGATTCACTCCTGTTGAGTTTGCACTATTCAATATTCTGTTTCCTTCCTCGTTAGAGATGAAAGAAAGTGGTCAAGGTCTACCAGAGGGAGAACCTCCAGGACAAGTAAGTTGTTATCCTGAACTGATTTTCCCATCAGTTTGAATGGTTTTGCACTGAAAAAGAATTCAATAACTTAACCTTTGCGTCACTTACTCAAAAATATGTAGAAAGATGCTAAGACTGAGATACAAACACTAGAGGCTTTGCTGCGTGCAGGTAGGTCAAAGTGTTTCAAGTAAATTAGTTGTCCTTCAATGTTCAACTACTCAGTAAATAGGTAACATCTCAGCTGATGGATGGTAGTCTTACGAAAAGAGCCAAATAAAACCGAGTGGAACCACGGAAACAATCCTCACGATTTATTTATATACATAAATTTATTTGCAGAACGAGGAAGCGTCGAAATCAATATTTACCAAGGACGAAATCTGGTGGCAAAGGATATTACTGGTAAGATAAAATTCATGGAAACCCTAACAATATTACATTTACTGCAAATGTCATCGAAGAATTCGTGTATAAACAAGCTTTCTTAATGTTTATAGTGCAGACTGCGGGTAAATAGGCTTGGGTTGAACCTCGTGCCGAATAAAAAACGAAGATGATTTCATCACGTGACAACGTACAAAGAAGAAAGCCAATAGAATTGTTTTATGAATTTCAGTGATAACTTTACTTCTTGCAGACGACTGAGTGAGCAGCTAGTAAAGTGCGGATCTTATTGAGTAACTGGAAGTAATTTCACTAATCTGTAAACAATGTAGATAATTCAAGATGTCCCACAAATACGAAGTTAACGAAAAGCAAGATTAGGTGGAAAACATTTTGTAACCTGGAGGGATGATTGAAAGCGTGGACGAATGCGCATGTACGCAGTTGAACTGAGGACCAGGAACTTCTCAGTAAATAGATTCGATCTCTCTAAAAAAGCGTATCTGTCCACAGGTAAAAGTGATCCGTTTGTGACGGTAAAGGATGGAAGTGAAGGAAGAGAGAAATATAGAACACGGACCATCACTAACACTTTGGAACCAGTGTGGAGTGAGACAGCTGTTGTAGCGATGCCTGATGTGAATGGTCTGCTCTTACTGGTGAGAAAGAGTTGGTTTGAACTCGATTTAGTCGCTTTTTCAGAATTATTCAATTTCGATTCTACAAAGACACAGAACCTGTGAATTCTTCTGTAGACTTGGGTATCAAATTTTATTTTGTTGTTTTATTTTTACATCGAGGGCTAAAATAGGAAAAACTTTGGGGCCAGTTAATTAAACGAAGTTTAGCTGTTGTTTAAAAATTAAAACCGCGTTTCAAGCCCTGTTCAATTTAGCCGAACCTTCTATCTTAACATTTATTTTTGTGAGCACTGTCAAGGGGGCCCGAAAACTAATAGTGGAAGGATATTTATTTCATTAAATCAAACCTCTTATGGAGCATCCCCGAGGCCCACTGCTTGCGAAAAATTGCGGTTTGGGTTAGACCTTGCACAAATAATCGGCCCCTTGAGTTCAACGCTTTCTTTTGCTTTTCCTCTCCCTCTCCCTTAAAAAGTAGTTAAAAAAATTTATATAAACTAAGGCATACTTATCAAGAAGGCAAAAAAATCATAACTCAAGAAAAATAGAAAGAATCTAAACAAAAAGGTAAGGCGCACAATATTCCGTCATCATGAGGCTTTTGCAGACGATACATCTCATCTATCTGTTTTCCAAATGGTATAACTTTTTAAAATGAGATTCGTGCAATATTTGGGACCTCTTTTAATACGACATTTTGTTTTACCATATAATCTGAAGAGCCATTTCCCACCCAGAGGCTGCTCCAACCGTTAAAAAATGGTACCAACGATAAACTAATTTGATGATATAATTTGATAAACTAAGTATGTGCCTGAGCTAATCAACCTGCAGCTGGATGAAGAAATATCAACTGAACAAGAAAAACTGCATTACTTGCAAACATATTTTTCTAATTTTTCAGGAAGTGTGGGATAAAGACCCATTGACACAAGAGAGAATGGGACAAATAGGATTTACGACGGAGAAATTGAAAGATTTAGGAAAGGTAAAAGCAAAAGCTGAGTACAGCTTTCTCCTTATTTCAAGCTTCAAATTCTTTTCGAAATATAAATACAATATTCTCAAAATTACGCTTAGATAATAAAATATATTCAAAACCATTTTTCAAAACTGGTCGATCCCATTTCGTTTCCTAAGTAGAAGGGAGAAATTTGATTAGCGGCGGAACCATGATTCTGACTTAATATCCTTTGTCCTTTCAGTAGCATGGATCAGTTTGGGGAAGCTTTGAGTGCTCGAAACTAAAATGATAACAAACGAGAGAATACAAAGCTCAGCCGCTAGCATCCAGAGGGATTGCCCTAAAGTTTTCTAGCTACACTAGTACGAAACATTTCAGTCTTTCTATTCAAATAGATCTGAGTAATAATTGAGAGCGCCTTGACAAAGTTAACTTTTAATTCTGTCATTTGATAGCCTCCCTATGAAAAGCACTGGTACAGGCTACGAGGGGTGAAGAGTGGAGAGCTACAGCTGGCATTCAAATACACTCCTCGGCAAGTAAGGGAGATCGTGTTACTGGTGGAAATACAAATCGTAAAATAATACCAAATGTGGGCATAATCACTCGCGCAACTCATCTTAAGTCCATGGAATTAAAGTCATTTTTGATCTTTCCTGACACTGGTAGAACAATGTTTTCATCAGCCTCAATTTTCCATTTTCGAAAAATTGGAATCGGATAAAGCTTTGAAACAAAACTGACATTTTAGGGCTATCGTTTCTGAAATACTTGGCATTTCCTGTAATCACAGTAATCTTCTGTGTCTCTTCAAGTTTGAAATAAAAAATTCAGTTACATACGTTACAGTTGAGAGGGATTTGGAGTCACAGAACTGGAAAATTGAATTTAATATTTTTTTTTTTGCTGCGTTTCTTTTGCAACCATGATAATTTTTAAAATATTTTGGAGAGGAGATATTTTTTCTAAGTTTCTCTCTGATTTTTCTAGGAGTAGTATAAGGGAAGGGAAATCAAGAAAACCGTGATACGATTCGTTGTTCACAATGGAGGCATAAGTTTTTTTCGTTCGCGTTTTCAGTAAGCGTGGTTTTACATCGATCTAAAACGTCTACTTCGTCTACTGAAAAAACTCCTTTTTGCCTCCAAGACTGAATCAATATTCAACCAAAACTGTGTCCAATATAGGAATAGACCCACATCTGTCATACTTGTCAACTATATAAAGATGAATAATGATGAAAATACCTCATTGTAACGTTGAAGTACTAACAAATCTATTTAACAACACAACAGGCAGATGATGACGCCTCCAACAATAACATAGACAGTAATGAGCCCCGAAAGCAGAGAGGTTTGTTTCTCTGATGAATTCATTTAAAAATCAGCTTTCTAATATATTCGAAAGAAGTCTAATTCTAGTAACCTCAACTGTCACGTCCCAGTCGAACAACGCCTCATCTCGCTTTCGTTGTGATACGGACTCAGCAAGTTGTCAAACTTCCTAATTCGCAGTCATTCAACAGAGAGGCTCTCGTGAACAACATCTGACAATTTTCATTTTTTACAATTTTTATTTTTCCATCTTACTCTCACAGAGAAAGATTTGCTTTCGTCGTCAGTTCCAGTTGCACTAAGTGCAAACAGTACCTTGTCGACACCAGTGAGAATGCTTCATTCTTCGCCTAGAGAGGAAAAGAGACTGTTTACTGGTAGGAGCCCAACATCCCTTAGCGGCAGTACTCAAGCAAAGGGAAGGAACGAAAGAAGCAAGGATGAATTCCCAGAAGTGTTCACACAGAATACGCCATCTGATTCGCAATCAAGGCAGGATCGAGAAGAGTACGAACTCAAAGCCTGGCCCCGGAAAACCCGACGCCTTCGATCAGTTGTCGACACCGTTCGATCCCTTCGGTTTAACGCGGCTCCCAGTGTTTCTGCAGCTTCTTCTAGTACGGTGAACACCTCGGGGCCAGAGGAGGGCATTGAACAAAAGCAGGATGGTAAAGATAAATCCAAGAGCTCTTCAGGCGTTCAAAAAGGCAATTCTCTTCGCAAGAAGTTCTCTTTTCTGAAGGGCCGACAGCGCAGCATCAGCGAAAGTCACCTAAGCGTGCTTTACTCATCACATGACGATATGGACCCATTACTGAAGCGAAAAAGTGAAAATGAATCGGATGGTGGCAAAAATCGAAACAAGAAACGTCTCCGGCGAAGCAGTGAGAATATTTCTGGGTCTACCACGCTAAGTCGCCAAAGGAGTGCCGAGAATTGCTTTCATTCTCTACCGAATAGCCCGGTCACTGTCACTTCACGCAGGGATCGGGCTGAACAGTTTGCTAATGATAGAGACTCACGAAGTACCGCCTCTTGTGGCTCACACTCACGTGGTTCGAGTACAAATCAGGACAGTTGTCCAATGTGTGACTTTAACGTTTTAATTCTTAGTGAATGCCCTGATTGCCAGAATTCGCAGAAGAAAAAAACTAATTCTTCATTCCAAGAAAGACTGATTCTTTAGAAAACATATTTGTAATGTGGATTTTTGGAGAGGCGAAAGATTATGTTAGCAAAAGTACTTAATCAGAAAAATTAGACGAGAGCCGAAAGCGAGTTGCAGAACTTGGATTAAACACATTTTGAAATTATTGAAAGCAGTTTCAACCGAAAGTGCAAAGACCAGGAACGTATTATTTAAAGATTTAGGCTAAAAAACTCCTGAAGCAATAAGTGTCTAGTGACGCTTTGAAGGACATGGGAGAAATTAATTTTTACAAGACAGAAATGTTCACGCGACTAATAAAATATCATTTTCACTCACAAGAGACCATTAAAATGCTTAAAAGATCTGTTCGGTCATCATGATCGCTAATGATTATTCACCATTAAATGTTTTTTTTTTAAATTTAAGGTAACAAATTCTCGCACGTGATTAGTCAGTTACATGCAGTCTGAATAAGACCATGCACGCGTCATGCCTATGAAACTGAATAGTTTGTGTCATCTATGCGGACTGTGATATAGACCAGTAACTTAATTCTCTCACGCCAAAAATCAACTGACTGATTACAGTGCCATGAAACTTTTTCGCCATGGTATTGGACCTGCAAAGATGAGTTTACCTACCAACAAGAGAACAAACATAAGTATTCGCGGAAAATTCTGCATTCTTGTTTTTCATTTGGAGTGAGTTAAACGGTAATATAGTAATAAAGTGCACAACTGCTAAACGTTAAAAATATTTCATGCAATAGATATAATGAGTGAAATACCATACAACTCAAATATATTTAGCATTAAAGCTAGCTATTGACATATTTAAGGAATTCTACGCGCTGTGTCATTGTGCGTTCTTGTCTTATTCGAATTGTCAACATCTGTTAGAGAAAAAATTCATTTTATCTCGAGGTACTTTTATGCCTCCATTAAGAACAACGAATCGCATCGTTTTCTTGGATTACAAAAGTACATTGGACATTTCTCTCTTCTTCTTCTTGCAGGGTAGGTTTGCTTCCCTCGCTTTTTCACTTGCAACAACAACAACAACAACAGCAACATTTAATAAACACTATAAAAATTACAGCGGAGCTGATGCGGTCGTGTATAAAAGTTAAAAATTGAGTACTATATATATACCAAGCTATTTAAATGAAATTCTACATTTAAGCGTATTTTTAAACAAGCTTCTGCTTGCGATTGAACGTGTATGATTTTAAAGAGAATTCCATAGAGATATGGCTTTGTAACAAGTGGACTTGAAAAGAAGTTCTGAGTTCAGCTTCGGTGGCTGAAAAAAGTCATTTTCCTTCGTAGGTTATAGTTACAATCATATTTCATAAACAGCTGCTTAACAGGTGAAAGGTCATTAAAACGGTCGTGTGCTAAAGAAAGTAATCTATATTCGTATAAATAATTAATGATAAACCGGTTTCTTTGGGCTAGAACATGATCGCTAGGTTATACCAATCCAGGTTGTAGATGGTCTTAGTGGCACCTATGAGTATTTTCTCCAGCTCATCAAAGAACGATTTGCCTCAGGAGCCCCATACAACCAAACCATAGGTGACTAATGGTCAAATTACTTTGAAATAAAAATCAGCTCTCGCCGTAGTCGGTAAAAAATACAAGGACCTGAGAAAATTCAATTTTTGTGACGGTGAAGGACTTAATTAACTCTTTTACGTAAACTTTAATTTCCAATTAAGATCACTGTCAAGCTCAGCGCCTAAGCACCTAGTTGACTTGACTTGATTGACAACACTGTTCCCAATGACACTGCTCGCAAGTTGCAAGGGCCCAACAAATTATATCAGCTATATCAGGAAGATCGTTGTAAAACAACGAAAACAGGGTAGGTTCCAAAACAGATCCTTGCGGCACGCCAAACCTCGGACTGGAATCCATTCATGATTGTAACCTGAGAGCGGTCAGCTAAGTAACCCTTAATCCAGTACCATAGGTACCTCCCCCGGGCACCATAGGTCGCCCGCAATACCGACTGCTTGCAATTTTTCCAGCAGGACATAGTGAGAAATAGAGTGATAGACCTTTCGAAAGTCTACAAAGGCGATACCAACCATTAGGTTTTTACCAAATGCCCGTCTCCAGTCTTCGATCATTTTTACCAACAAAAATTCGGTTGAGTGGGCCTTTTTATAAGCCCGCTGGTGAGGATGGCCAAGAATATGTTCCAAATGTGAGTTGTAATCGTTGTGGCTATGGCCTGTTCTATCAATTTTCCATGGACGCATAATAGGGAAATTGGTCGATAGTTCTGTTAATCTGTTTCATTACCCCTCTTGAACACGGCCGAAACGCTAGCAGTTTTCCAAGAAGCAGGGACTGAATTATGTTCAGCACTCATGGTGTATAGAGGTAACAATGATTGAAGCAGTTCCTTTCCTGTATATTTGAGTAGCTTCCACAAGCGTTGTTTGCTTTCATCTTCTTGTCTGCTTTCATCTTTTTTATGCTCTCGGTAAACACCAGCATGCGATGTGGAGATATTCATTATGTAGGGAGTAACGCGGTTGATGTGAATATCATTATTCTCTTGTCTACAGAAGGGAAGATCGCTTGCCAACTTTTCGTCAACAGTAGAAAAGTATTCATCAAGGATCTGCGCTTTCTTGTAGTCAGATGTTTCAACTGATCCGTCTTAAGTCTATATACCGAGTACGGGCTGCGACGCCGAGCTGTAAGCAGCTTTTTTGATCAAGTTCCGCTCAGTGACTTATGTGCTTCTTAGACCACTTCCATCCTCATCTTATCAATCTCGACAACCCAATCTTATTGATCGTCCAAATTTTCAGAATGCGGCAAAGAAAAAAGTCGAATCTTGTACCTTGTTACTTAAAACAGGACATACTTTTGAGCACGAAATCAAACCGCCATCTTATAATAAATTAAGCGAGTTACACTATATTTTCTCCTGCTGAACAAATCAGCCGAAATTTTCATATTCCTCAGCTGCAGCTTGTAAATTCCTTGCCATTTCTACTTTTTCTATTTGCCTAATTTTACTCTTTTTGTTTTTCTATGTGTCAAACATATTTTTTACTCATTTAAAATGGAGTCAATCTTTTCCATTGTTAGTCATACTTTTTTTTGGTTTGTTTTTGCTTCTTTTGTGTTTTTCTAAGAAGTTTAAAGCTTCTTAGAAAGTAAGCTAAAAGACGTTTTCATTCTCGATAGATGTGTGTGGAAATACGATATTTAATATAAGATTGTGATGATAATTATTTTCGTTTTCGGCTATTATCATTATGGTTTCTGATTAGACAAAAGGTACTCAACTCAGTGGAAATAGGCTGGAGGCAGTCTGTAAAATCAAAACGACATTCGTAAAAATCTTGTTTGTATACTTATGAAGTTTCTCTGAATCTTTTATTCCTTGCCAAGTTTGTTAACATGGCGTGGATAGCGGCTTCTCAAGTGGATAAAGTTTATTCCCATTTTAAAGACTCTCCGCAGGGGTTAGCGCGAGTTCTGCAATATCCCCTAAGTTAATTTTTCTCGAATTCCAATCATTTGAAAGTGTTATTCTAGTGGTTATTGTTTCCTTTGTTCATATTTTAACTCCTCATCGGCCTTAATTTAATTAATTGAAAAAAGTACTTCTCATAAGTATAATTACTCAGTGATTATGGAGATGCGCGGGCTCTGGTTGGTCGACGCACTGTGCCATATCTTGCTATGATCACCTCGCGCGAAGTGATTATAGCAGCAGCAAATGGCAGCAAATGGCCTCCTCGCGTTTTTTTCAATGTTCCTCAGGAAGGGATGAACGCAACTGAAGAAAATTCAATCGCAAAGATCGCAAAAGATGTTGAGGGGTTGGCAGAACACTTTTCAAAAGAAAGATATGAAGTTTTCACTGATTATATTAAATAAATCTGTTAAAACTTCTTGCTTATCTTGATGCGAGTAATCAACACAATTGTAACAAACTATGTGCAGTACTTTCTTTATTTAAAAAAATTTACGACAGAATCTGAAAGAACATAAGCAGTTATACTTAAACGATTATTCACCTCAATCGACCTCAGGCTCAGTCAATTTTGTTAAATAGTCCCCTCGACCTCGGCTCGGGAATCATTCAACAACATTCGCCTTCCGGCGGTGACTAATTGTTAAATGTGAATTTTCGTACAAGGAAAATTTTTGAACAAAGTAGCTAAACGAAGTAATTACGTCTGTGTCGTTGTTTTAATTCAGATTCGCTTCAAATTCAAAGCTGAAGTCGAGTCCTCATCACACCGCAAGGACCCTCGCTAGGAATGGTATTTTTTTGATGCTGTTGGAATAGTTTCAGTCGATCGTAAATCTTATGACAAGTTACAGACAGAAGAGTGAAAACGTGACTTGTACTGTTCGGAATCAAAACAGACACGTTTATTCCAACACGGAAAACGTAGACACACGGTAAACGACAACAACCGTTAAACAAAACCGCCGCTCGATAAATTAAAAAACTTTTCAACTCTTCTCTAAGAAAATTGCACACGTCAAAAATAAAAAGGTCCGCGTGATTTGCTTACGATATTATTAACCTACGTAATCACAAAGCACGCGCACGCGAGTCGCGCGCGCACAAGTTCGTTAACGTCCTCTTAACACGTACATTCCATGACCTCGTGGAATTCTCGGGCACCAATCAGGTTTTACTATATCTTTTTTTCCGTATTACGTAATGATAGTTGATGGTGGCCGATCTTTTAATAAATGTAAAAACTTCCATTCTGGCTGTCGATCATGTCTGAGAGAAAGTCTGAGCTTATAGTCTGTCTGATTCTTGGATCCAGCCACGCTAACTGTAATACTGAGAGATTCTGGGAGGGTGTAGAAACTTGGAAAGCGCGCTCCACGGAGTGAAATTTTTTCTGACAAGAAAAATAACGCCTTAACACGCATCAAAGTCTCAACACACATTTATCCATTTTTTTCAGACACAAAACCACCAAAGCTCTAATAGTAAAGTAAAAGCAATGGCAATAACAACAACAAATTTCGACAGTTGAGAATCAATTTATTGATTTAAACCAACTGGAGTTCGCAATATCAGTGTTCCTATAACGACGATTATGAATAGAATAAATAACTACTGACAGCTCCGTTCTGTAACTCCCACAAAGCTTTTTCTTCATGCATTTAGAAGCAACTGAGAACTTTTCCGAGATATTTATCTTTTAGTTGTTGTAAGGAATTTATAACAATTACGATCGAATTACGGTAAGTCGAACCTTCAAAGCAAATTGATAAAGGTTCAAGATACTCAAATTGGGAGACAAAGGACCAGAAATACGGGAATAACGATGGTTAAATGTACTGCTTTTCTAGTCAACCAATACTTGGCTGTGAAGCCGCGCGATGCGGTTCCAGTCGAGGCCCACAAATTGATTCTTGCTCACCATAGTGTCTCCAGTAGCTCAGTGGTTAGAGCATCCGACTAGATCACGGAGTGTCGTGGGTTCAAGTCCGATCTGGGGCTCGGATTTTTTCTATTACACTAAATATCATTTCATCTTTACATGCTTTTCTAGTCATACATATTATGTTTTAGTCAAATATAATTATAGAGAAGTTGAGTAACAATGAAACACTAAATTACTGCAGAAAGGAAAGCGTAGCGTTAGTTGGCGAGAGGTCCGAGTTAACGAGGGTCCGAGTTATCGGGATCGAACTGTATTTTTAAATGCAAATCTCATCCTTCTCCTCCACCGCTTTAACTGAAAAAGCTCGAGAATCCCCTGAAAAGTTACTCTATGTGTTGACAGACAAATAACAAACCAACAAGTAAACGAAGTCATTTTGCGTAAACTCAATGAAGGAAGTACCTCCGAAATGATTCACTCTGAAAACTGTAACGTATCTATAACTTAAACTAGCTTTAACTCTACCGCAAGGACAGACTATAACCAAGATTAAGTTGTTGGGACTTTCGAGTAACGGGCTCCTGCTCTTTAGGTCCCATCTTCCTCCATTCTCCAAATTCTTTCCTGCTTAGGTGCTATTGAAAGCTTTAATAACTTGATCAGAAGTGTCATTAGTATGAATTGCGGCGATCTTTTAGCTCCAGATAG